AATTGGAAAGGTTGCTTTTGTGGATTTTTGACTGTCATTTGTAGCCGCACCATCGTAGGACAGTCATCAGTATCACCACTAATGGGAAAGAGAAAAGCCATTTGGAGCCTTTTGTATTTGATAAAAATGCCTACGAAAAAGAATAAAACAAAAGAAATAGGTAAAATATACTCCGTTGTAAATGGGAATTTAATTTAATATTCTAGTATATTCATTTCATGAGTAAGGCTGCAAGATGCCTGGTCAATAAGCACGAAGTTGGAACAGCATGAAAACACATTTCTGGAGGGATTTGATCCTGTGTTATAGTCTAATAACATTTCTTTCACATTGGAGACAACATGGAAAGAAAGGTGTGAAGCGACGATTTTCTTCAGTCCATTTATTTCTTGAGTGTAAACCAGGGTTTCTCAATTTTGGCACTATTGGCATTTTGAGCTGGATAAATCTTTGTTGTAGGTCTGTCCTGCACACTGTAGGATGCTAAGCAGCATCCCTGGCCTTTACTCACTAAATTATAGTAGCATCTCCCCAGCTGTAATGATCAAAAGTGTCATCAGACATTGCCAGATGTCCTGGGGTGGGGGGTGGGGGTGAAAAATTTCCCAGTTGAGAAGAATTGGTATAAACTACAGTATCTTCTTCTTCAAGTATATCACATTTTAAAATCAGGTTAATTATCCAAATAGCTTGTAGCTATAGAAGAACAGGATTAGCTGCTCCAAGTGGGAAAATGGATATGCAGGAAAGAACTAATAAGAAAGGTTAGGGCAAAAACTTTGTCCTTTAACTCTGAGAATGGTAGAAGGTGTGTCACTATTTCACATGACCTCTGCCTCTGTTACCATCTACTGTACCTTATTTGCACGTATTCAGCCAACAGCTAAGGACTTCATGAACTTGACTCACTGAAGAGGTCAGACTGCCATGTTTCTGAATTGTTCTTAAATAAATTCTCCATTGCATTAGGCACGAATAAGCTTTTCTTTAATGTCAGGCATGCTTATCATCTTATTCCTTCTCATTTTCTTCTAGAATATGTGTGGGCACTGAAAAGGCAGTTGTACCCTATGGTTTCAGTTCTTGTAAATACACTTTCCATTTACTGGATACCACACATTTTTAGATAGTTTTGGTTTCTTGCTTTCTTATAAAGGTTAAAGTATATTCGCAGTGTTCATATCAACTGATGTACAAAATAATTTTAAAAATTAACCTCACAGTAATATTTATGGCAGTGGTTCCCAAATTTGTGGTCCCCTGACCAATGACATCAGCCTCACCTGGGAGCTTGTTTGAAATGCAAATTGTCACACCCTATACCAGGGCTACTAAGTTAAAAACTCTGGGGTGGGTCAAGCAATCACCGGTGCTTTATCAAGCCCTCCAGACGATTCTAACAGACACTAAAGTTTGAGACTTGTTTGTGTGTGGCTTTCATTTTGGGGGATGTTGCAGTTTACCTGCAAACTAGAATGTGAGCACCAAATGCCCTTGAATATTTTTCCTTTAGCTATTTGTGGGATAGCAGATTTCCACAAGTCAGAGAGCTTTAGAATATTCACTAAATGCAAAGCAAAACATGTATATTAATAGCATTTCCCAAGCTCATATTCACTTCATTTTTTTTCTTTTTCTTCTGCCTCTGCGTCTAAGAGGCCATAAAACATTTTCTCTTAGCCCTGTAAATTGGCAGTAATTGACAGCCAGCCTGGGAGTTGGGCTATAATTCCAAGTTTGAAGGAGCCAGGGGCATGAACCCCTGCTTCACCTCCTAAGATGGATATTAGGTCAGGAGCAAGGAGCAGTGGGGTAAAGGTTTCCCTGGAAGCTTGGAGTCAAGGCTGTTGCCTGCAGCCTTTGCTTTCAGTACATTGAGTTCAATATGAGGGCTGCCAAATGAATGTACCTCTCACCAGCGTTATGGTCATTTTTCTTTGTAACCTACACCTGAATGACCCAGGAAGGGTTATATCCAATAACAAATTTATCCATGCTAGCTGACAAGCTCTACATGTTCCCATCACCCTACAGAAAACAGTGCAAGAGATTCTAAGCCAAGCTAGTACTCCATTTAGCAAATGGCAAATAATAACATCATCTTGGCAATTACAAGCTGTTTCATGCTACTGACATGTCAGCAGTAGTAATTGAATATGTAAAACTTCTAATGCTATCAGGTGTCAATCTGTGCCTCATCCTGTCAACAAATCCTTCATGAGCATCTATTATATGCAAAAATAGTGTACATAAAATTAAATATCATAGTCCTTGGCATCAAATGCTCACAATCCCATCAAGGAAACGATAAACCAATAGTTATTTAAGAGCTAAATGCCATGATCAAACACAAGCTAAGAACTAAAGTAAACTTACATCTGGATTTTTTAAGATACTATGATATTTCTCGTTTTATCCCTATGACCTCTTAATGTTATATTTCTCAAGTCATGTATATTTTTTGATTTTTGACTCAGAGATAGAGAAAAACAAGGTCTATGGACTTTATTTTCAGTCTAATTTTTTGGCTGATTTCTATGTATTATTTTCATACTAAACTGCTTCTTGTTTCTGAAATATATGAAGGAATGCAGACATTTTTCTGGAGGCAACAGAGTCATTGTATTTATAAGTATAAGAGTAACACAAGCATTGGCATGTTTTAGGGCATCTGGCAGGTTTTGCAGGAGTGGCTGGTGGTGAGAAAATTCCTAGGAGAGAGTAATAAACACCATAGCCGAGAATTTGGGCAGCAACTCAAATGGAGGCCAAAAAAAAGTAAAAGTAAAACAGAGTGTGAATCATGTCTTCACATAGAAAAGTGTCAACACTCTCTTTAATAAGAGTGATATTTAAAACAATAGAACTGGTTCACTGCAGAAATATTTCCATTTAGATCCTGAAAGAAATTAATAATAAATGAGAGAGCAATATCAGTAAGGTGTTTTAAAAGATAGATAACTAATAAAAAACAAATCTTTCTGCAAATATATGAGCATCTATTAAATTGGTCCTCCCATAATATTTTATTTACCAACCTCCTCTGCTAGACTCCCAACTTGAAAAATATAGATGCTCATAAAAAATAAAGCACAGAAATGAAATTCGTACCCTAGGGAGTGATCGCCGATAAGTGAGAAAGTTTAGTTTTGTGTACCACTCTCACCATCATCATCACCACTGCCAAAAGGTGCACCTTTTCTAGTCTTTACCATCTCAGTTTATAGCAACTTCATTGACCTCACTGCTCAATTCAGAAACCTGGAGATCTACCTTTGCTTCTCTTTCTTATTCTTCATTTAAGGTTAAGTCCTGTGTGTTCTACCACTAAACCGGCACTCTAGTGATATCATCTGAGTCAAGGATAAGGCCACTTCTCCCTTGAATATGTTGTATCCTTCTAATTACTTTTCTCATCTTCACTTTTGCCTCCATTATCCACTCTTTATGTAAAAGATAGAGCAATCTTTTAAGAGTAAAGAGGAATTCTCCTTTTTAAAACACTTTAGTGCCTTACCATTGCTCTTAGAATGAAACTTAAACAATAGCATATAAGGTAACCATTACTAATACACTCAGATTACAGGTGAGAGAACCAAAGCTTTTAACACTTAATTTTATCAACAGCATATTATTGGCAAACTGCTGAGCCCAGATAGCTTAAATCTAAATAAGTAATCTGCTACACATTTGCTGCCCCCTGGAGTGCTGTGTTTACGGTACTACTGGATAGACATGACAAGACACCTAAAGTTAATTATAGGACAGTCACGCCAAGAGCTGTCAGATAAAAACATTAATAATGATAATCCTAATATCAACAATTAGAATTCTCCAAGCATACATGTTGAAGACCTATAAACTCAAGACTCTGTGCAATGTATTTAATTCTCACAGCAAAACTCATTTACTCTGAATACCAGTGTAGGATTTTGAACACAAATGGGTAGCATATGGAATTAAATCTTTTGTATCAATGTATACTATCTCTTACTTGCTATGTGATTTGGAGAGATAATTAATTCTAAGCCCTAGTTTCCTCAGTCTCTGAAATGGGCTTAATAATAATGTTTATTTTATATAATTGCCTTGACACAGAAAAGGACATTTTATTATGAAACATATGCAGCTAAAATAGTGACAATATCATTAGAGGTATGTTTACATATGAGTATGTGTTTAGATGTATTTACTAAAGTGGTTTAAGGAAATTTAAGTAATTGGTAATTTTAACAATGCTTTTCCTTTTTTAAATTTATTTTATTCTTATTTATTTATTTTTGAGATGGAGTCTTGCTCTGTCACCCAGTCTACGGTGTAGTGGTGTGATCCTGGCTCACTGCAATCTCTACCTCCCAGGTTCAAGCAATTCTCCTGCCTCAGCCTCCCAAGTAGCTGGAATTACAGGCATGCACCACCATGCCCGGCTAATATTTTGTGTTTTTAGTAGAGACAAGGTTTTGCCATGTTGACCGAGTTGGTCTCAAACTCGTGACATCGTGATCTGCCCTCCTCAGCCTCCCAAAGTGCTGGGATTACAGGCATGAGCCACTGCACTTGGCAACAGTGCTTTTTAGTAAGTAGATCTATGTTGACAAACTGAGACCATGTAGAGGTAGTAGAATATAATCATGGTGGCCCAGTGATATTTTTATTTCCTTTAATACTAGCAATTTTATAAAAATATTTCATTAAAGATATTTAACTGAACGGAATTTAGTTGTAGTCCATTTGTATCCAGAATTTAATCAGAAAATCAAAAGCATTAGTAGATAGATCTACTAATACAAAATAGTTGTAAATAATGCAAATAGTTGTCAAAGCTTTCTTTAATAAGAGTGATATTTAAAACAGTAGAACTGGTTCACTACAGAAATATTGCTATTTAGATCCTGAAAGAAATTAATAACAAATTAGAGAGCAGTATCAGTAAGGTGTTTTAAAAGATAGATAACTAATAAAAAAACAGTAGATCTATATATTTGTTACATGGATTTTACCCTATGCAATTGTGGGAGTTAAGTTCTTTCTGCAAGGTTCTTGTCTTTGCTTGTGATGCTGGAGCTTGCAGTCCACAAGGAGGGTAGTTGGAAAGGAAAGATGACTGTAAAGTGGGAGAAATAAAAATTAATCTAGAACTCACATATACAAGCTGGAGCCACCAAACGATGAACTGAAATGCGTGCCATTCCTCGTTACCTCTGATCTTGATGGGAGAGGAGTCCATCAGAAGATGAGTCTCTTCACCATGGAGCTAAACGCAAACACCAGGCCCCAGAGTCAGAAAAGCTAAAGAAATATCGAAGGGAAGGTGCACTAGGTGTAGGTCCACCTCATGCCTCACAGCAATAATTTAAGTAACCAGACTGACAAAAATATGTGCAAGATACAAAATAGCTGTTGCTTTACTTCCACCCACTAAATCACCTGCAAGAATCTCTCTTGGCCCACCCTAAGTGGAGATACACTTAGGGGAAGGGTATTCTGGGAAATGTAACCCAATGCAGCCAAGCTGATACATTGTAGAGCCACCACAATCCACTCCTTATCAATTTGACACTCATAAACATCTTCAATCATACTTAGTCTACAAAAGCAATCATGACAAAGTCAAACTTCCACCCAACATGATCTATCTCTTCAAAGTACATCTGAAAACAGGCTCCTTTTTTCTTTTTAGTAGAACATAATGTCTGTTTTTTTTTTGTCTTTGGATGATATTTATTCTTCTCTTAAGTCATGCTCCAAGTTGGATATCTTATAATTTCAAGGTTAAGATATATATTTAATTACTATTAACATATCTTATATTTGAAAAGAAGAAGAGAAAGCGGAAGAAAAAGAAGATAATTGCTTAACATAAATGCAAACATAGTCATATCAAAATAAGAAATAAGTACTCACACTATTCTAGCCTTGTTTCTATAATTGGCCATGTGGTCATAACTGGTGTTTATTGCTACCTTCTTCCCCTACTCATTTCATATTTTCTTTGCACTCAGCTAGCCGTTCAACTGGGAAATATGGTACAGAGACCCAATTCTTGCTTACTGAAGTATCTGGGTCCTTAGTGAATCTTCCTGATTTAGGCTGCTATAGTTTTCCATCTACTTTAATCATAGGACCTGGGAATACTAACAAACATTCTAGGGAATCTTCTGCATCATAGAAATGCTTCTCTTACTCACTTTGTGTAGTGGCCACCTAATTTCTCCTGGGTGGTTAGGATCTGTAACTCACTTCTTTGCCTGTTGATTCAGAGGCACGAGGAGTCCAAAGTGGCCAGGTGGAAGTCTCAACTTCCTCTTCAGTGTAATCACTGTCATGTCTCCTGGGAGAACCATTCTTTCAGAACCCAGAAGTCTAGACCAGCAGAAACTGAACTTGTGAGGTTGGAAGACAAAAATCTAGTTACTGGATTGCTGGGGATAATGTTGAGAGGCACCATTCTTATTCTACACCTTGGTTCCTAGAGGTGTAAATCCTAATTATTAGAGAAACAACATCATATACCACATGCTGATGTAATGCACGTATTTTATCCTGGAGGAGACTTTTTCTAGTCCTGCACTATGTTGCCATCTAGATGCTGTCATGAGTAAGACTTCAAAGGGCCTTTTCATTAGTCCATCAAGCTAGCTGCTTCAGCACAATAGAGTATGTGATTCGACCAGTAAATTCCATGGGTTTGGATATATTGCTGCACTTTATTTGCTGTGAAATGAGTTTCTTGGTCAGAAATGATGCTATGTGGAATACGGTGAATAAGCTATCCTGTAAATGTGTGGACAGTTTTGAGATGCACTTCAAGTAAAAGGCAGATCTATATCCAGATCGATAGCCTGACCAGTGAAAACCAAGTGCAGTGCCTACAATGACAAAAGTGGCCCAATATAATCAACCTAACAACAATTAGCTGCTGATCATTCAGGAAATGGGGCCATATTGCAGGAATGGTATTTGTTTCTGATTTTGGCAAAAGGGGCACTCAGCACTGGCTGTAGCTATACTGGCATGGGTGAAAGAAAATTTATGTTGGTAACACCATGGATAACCTTGATTCCTGCCATGATGGCCACTTTATTCATGAGCCCATTATGTAATGACTGGAGTGTCTGAGAAGCCAGGCATGAAAGACATATAAAGTCAGGGAGATTTAGAACTGGCTGGGAGCTACAAGCATAGGCTGGAGCCCAGTGAGAATTTACACTGAAACCTGTATATATTCTCACTGCCCCTGAAATTTTTGGCATGGGTGATCTAAAGTAGTTGAAGTTTTTCATCATAAAGTTAAACACATACACTTGGCCTGAGAATCAAAGAAGCTGAAGGACAAGCTGAGAAAATATGGAGCAGTCTCAGGCCCAGCTATAGCCTCATGCCAATGAGGTCAGCTGAAAGATCAGTGGCAACATAAAGGAGCAACAACGTGGTGCCCATTTTGCTTCCTTTCTCCACATCTCATAGAAGAATGTCTTTGTGGTCCACGCTAAACAGAAACTTACCCAAAAGGGAATTCTAGAAAATCAAGTTCAGACTAGCCAACTTAAACATTACAAAGCCACTTTAAAATAGTAGAAAATGTTAGGTCCCTAGGTGATTGAAGTCATTATATATTTTTGATTTGGAGAACTTTATTATAGACAGAGAAGGAAGAGTTCTGAATTGGAAATCTGGAGATTGGGAGTTTCTGTCAGTTCAATCATTGCCTAAACACATGATCTTTTTTAGTCTTTTATCCTCACCCAGCCTTCATTTCTTTAGTTGTAAAATAAAGTGGATACACTGGATTATATTCTAAAGGCTTCCCTGTGTAGTAGGTAAAATAACTGGTTTTCAGGCTGCTGAGAATCAAATTCTAGTTATAACCCCTTCTGATCTTGTGCAAGAGCTTGGGCTTTCTGTGCCTCAGTTTTCTCTTTGTTAAATAGTAATACATGACTCATAATGTTGTAAGAACTGAATGAATGAAAATACTTAAAGCTCTTAAAATCATGAGGGCATGTAGTCAACACAGATTAAATGTTAGCGAGTGGAGTGCAGTAGCAATAATTTGTCTGTGAATTTTATACTTTCTTGACTCTTGTAGAAGCCTAAAAACCATATTCACTATCTCAAAGTCAGTGCTTTGACTGAGGAATTAAAAGGAAATTACCACAGGTCTTTGTAAATTTGTTTTGTCATTGGTAAATTATATGATTTTTCTCTCTTTTTTGATACTGATGCTATTAATAAGGATGCATTGAATATCCATAATGAGGTAGACATGGTAAAAATATGCAAATAAAGCAATTATTTAGTAGCCTTAACCAAGGGAGAATGTAACAGGGTATGGAAGGTTAATAATGGCGTAAAAATGCTGACAAAGGAGCTTTTTGTTTTTAATAACAAAACCCAAAGAAGTGGGTTTCGAGTAATTTAAATAAATTATTCTGATATATATTTGAAGAAGTACCAGACTTGATCTTTTATAGACATAAAATCTGATCCTAGTCGAATCTTTGCTTTCTTTGTACACACTCTCCATTCTCTCTCCTTGTTTCAGTAACCCTAAATACCATGTGAGGGCATGTTATGAAGCCTGCTTACCCACCCTTCCCAAGAGCTGCCTACTGCTCTTGTTCTTGTGAGCTTATTTTCAGCCTTCATGTTCTTATTGAGGGTATAGGAAGAAGACCTGGTTAAAACAGAATCATTACGTATCAGAAGAAAGAATCATCAGATTTAGAGAAGGAAGCAGAGAAGGGAAGGGGATTTATTGCCTCCACGTAGCTAAGAAACCCAGTGGGTATTGTGGCTTCTGCCATGACTGCATCCAGAATTTCAAACAATGAATCTGCCTCTGTCTTTGCCTTTCCTTCTTCTCCCCTCCCTCACCCACTCATCACCATCCTCGCCTTTGATATATTTATTATATATTAGCAGGTTTTTCTGTGTACCTGGAATAGTGGCTTCTAGCAGCTCCAGAGTTTGATTCTTAAAGCTGGTTGGTTCAGAAAAATAGAGTTAATATATCTTCCTCAATGTCCCTATGTTCTAATACAGTCTACGTCGGTTACATGCCCGTGTGTGTCAATCTGCTTGGGCTTCCATAACTGAATGCCCCAGTCTGGATGCCTTAAACAGCAGAAATTTATTTTCTCACAGTTCTGGAGGCTCAAAGTCCACGATTTTAAACTGCCAGCAACATTGGTTTCTGGTGAGATCTTTCTTCCTGGCTTGCAGACAGCCACCTTCGCATGGCCTGAAGTCCCTCGTCTAATTCTATTTCTTGATCTGGGTATGTTTTCAAACATTTTTTTCCTTAGTCACACACTTACTATGTTTTGTTTCCGTGTCTGTGTTTTACCTAACAATAAAAAGGTAACACCATGGCTAAGTTATGGGATAGCAAGTTTCTAATTTAAAACCATATATACCAATTCTCTTTATAGTAACCAAAGATAGCCAACTTATCAAGGCTGAGATTAATGTTATGGTGACTGTAATAATCTTACAAGAAAGGCAAGGAATAAATGGGGGGGAAATGGACCTATTACAAATAGAAGACATAAAACTAACAGCAAGGGGTAGTTACCGAAACTAAAAGAGCAGTACCAGGACTGCTGAGATGTAGCTGACCTCTAGATATATTAATAGGTGAGGCCTGGGAGACCTTGATGATTAATTCCATGTGTGTGGTAGAAGAAAAGTTTATACATTTCTGAATTGAACCACAAGGTCAATAGTAATATCATTCAAAGAAAGAGAACAATTGAGGATGTAAAATAAGGTCGAAAAAAGTTGGGAAGGGAAGAGGATTATGAGTTCAAGTTAGGCAAATTGTCTCTAAGGCACCAGTGATGTGCAAGTGAAATACCCAAGCAGTTTATATAATTAGAGGTCAACAATTCAAGGGCAAAATCTCAGCAAAAATAAATATGTGAAAGACGTTAGCATGTAGAGCACTATTGGTCCATTGCCTGGAAAATATGGAGGGTGAGGTGGAAGAAGTTTCATAGACTTCTAAAGATGAGCAACATTTAAGGACTGGGCAAAGAAATAAGAAATCCTCTCACCTCAAAAACAGTGATTCTGGGATGAAGAAACATTATAGTATAAGAAAAAAATCAGAAAAGTTGATTCTTGGGGGCTGAGAAGGAAAACAAACATAGTTAAATATTCAGAGAATTCAATTACATAAATCCTAATAAATATGTTTTGGCTGAAAAAGGAAGCTTGCCATTGACATGTTCATGTTTTCGTAGAGAAAACAGGCAAAGGTCACTGGTGTCGAGGAAATGGTGAAATGAAAGTTCGGGTATTGGTTGGGCTTTCGGCATGGATGTTGAAGCCAGCCAGGATGATCGCAGAACGTTAGGAAGAGAAGTCTCTCAGCCAAGACCAGAATAATCCCTGCATGGGAGGAGATAGAATAAGTTAGAAGAAATTATCTGTAGTTGCCTGGCTTCCTCCTACTTCTGCTGACAGTTCTCAACTTTAAGTGTCACTTTTTTAGAGAAGTCTCCCCTCAACTCCACCACACTAAGCTGGGCATCCCCTAAAAGCCCCTGTGATGTTACTTAATTACCGCATTATATCCTTTAAGAACTCTGCAATGAAATTGAACAGTTGGCTTTCCCTCCATGAGTCTTTTCGCTCCTTCAGCTAACTTCAAGACCATGCCTGTTATTTCTCATCTGTTTAGCGCTGTACTTGGCGCATAAAAGTCTCGTAAAAAATGTTTGTTGATAGAATGAATAAATGAAAAGATAAATAAACAGGAGGAATGTGGAGGGGCAGGTTATCAAGAAAGAGGTGGGGTTTACTCAAAGATAGAGGTGTACGGAAGGAGAACAGACTGCAGCTTTTGGCCACTCTGTAAGAAGTCCAGCAATGCCAGGATTGCTGGTGCTGCCAGAAATACCCTAGCCTAAAATTGTGAAGTTCAATTATTTCTGTGCACAAAAAATCTAGTAAAACTTAAGCTTCGAAAAGAAAATGGATATCACTGGAAAATTCAAGAGAACTTTTTTTTTCAGGAAGTATAACATATTAAACTCATCAACTTTTACTTTTCAAAATTGTGAGTAAAACAAGCTCTCATAAATTAAATAAATAAGAATTGTTTTTCGTCTCATTATTTGACATGTTAGGGAAAGGGTATGGTTTAAGAAAAGATGTGAGTTGGTAGAAAAGGGCCAGATAATAAAGGAAGATAAGGACCCAGGAACAAAAAGGATATTGTCTAGTTAGTGAGATCAAACTAGGTATGACAATATTTGCTGACCTTCTATTCTATACTATACACTATATTCTGTATTTTCAC